ATATGTAGATTTAATTTCTTCCGATTGCTGTATCATCTAGGTGAATGATTGGATTAATGAGCTGTAAAGGAGGCAGTTGTTAATAATTTAAAATACCATCACACATTTTACACCAATCAGTTCTGATGGCGTTTAGATCGAGAATCAAACCCGTCACTTTCTGTATGTGAATCACAAGTTCTAACCGTTCTATTCTAGCTTTCAGTAAAAGAAGTTTTCTAACTTTGGCTCTGTCATAAATATTAAACAGAGTACCAAGAAATTGAATATAATTTTAAAACGGCAAAAATAATTATGTAGTTTATAGTTTCTCTGCTCCTAATGCAATAGCTAATGTCGGTCACACTTCACTGTGCGAATGCGCTGTTCGTTCGATGCGGGAAAATGTGACAACTCTGATAGTAAGAAATGCACACGAGGCTTTGTGGCGCCTATGGTGGTGTCTGGCGGATTCTGAGTTTGACGGAAGTCTGAAGACAGGCGATCGGTTTTGTATTGGTGCGTTTTGTAGTCGCCGTGAATATGTATTCACATTTTATTTAGTTAAAACAGACAACCTACAAATTTTGTACTTTTAAAGCGATTTACAAAAACTATGCTGCAATGAATTGTTCTGTATTGCCTATCTTTCAACAAAAAAATATTCATCTCCGCCAACTTTGACCGGTCGTACTAGTAATATGCGTAAAACAATCCAAAACAGAGCTTATATGAAAAAGAGCAAAGGAATCTTATAACAGAGGCATAGTTTACACCGTATGTAGCTGTATTTGTTTAGGGTACTCTTTTGAAAGCTTACGAATAAAGTTAGTTAAAAAGGGAAGTTGCAGTCTTTTTATGATACCAATTTCTAGCGGCGGTTTAGTTTTAATGTTGATCTTGTGGTAGGAACTCTGAAACATCGGCTGTACAGCACACAACTGAACAGTACCATCTCTCAAACACAAGATCAACATTTGTTTTCGGTGGCTGGTTTTAAAACTTTTTAGCATATCCGTGCCACAAAATGCTCAAGAATACGTGCAAAAATAGAGCAAATGCTCAAGAATACGTGCAAAAATAGTTTTTTTCTAAGCTGAGAAAACAAAAAATTGAGTTTATAATTAGCATTATGTGCATACAATTTGTTCACAAAAATCTAAATTTCCAAATTTAGGAGAAAAATAAAGCACATTTAAAATATATATTCTTTTCAACAATTTGCATAAAATTAAGAAAATTGTTAATTGCACAATATTAATGAAAGTTTGCCTTTTGAAATATAGTAGGCTAAAATACATTTTAACACGTTCTGGAAGACTTGATTTCGGAGGTGTAGTGAATTTGTCATATTCGATATGTATGGGCTATTCATTATGTTTTGTAGTAGTGTAATTTTAATATGTAGTGTGAGTAAATGCTCAAAATTTCTTTAAATGAAAAACAAAATATCCTGAGGATTCCCGAAACAGTCACTTTGGAGCTCAAAAAAGGTAGGTGCCCGTTCTTTTTATTCCATTTTGACCGAAATTGGAATGCATCAACATTTTAGGGAACAAATCCAATGGTCAGTGTGGTGGTCTGTCATCTCTCAAATGGACGAAGTCTTCTTGTAAGCGGGAATCCGACACACAGTGCGAAAACACTGGCAGTGTTTCGGTTTCGAGTTCTAGAAAAAAGCGCTGAATGAACACAATTCTATGGCTCATAAAATGGAAGCCCGCCAAAATCAATAGGATGTTGTAACCTCATTATCTGATTCATTTATTGCAGAGGTTTTGGGTTCCATATGGAATTACAATTTCTTTTTTGTGTGTCTGCAACTGTGCCATATATTCTGTTTATATGTGGGTCGTAACGTTGCGTAAATCTCTAGATAGGCTATGACCTAAATGGAGCAGCAGAAAGTTCTGGGAACTGCTAAAATATGAGATTTAATGTTCGGTCTTTGTGTGTGTTTGTGAGTGTGCGTGAATGTGTGTGGTCACTATGAAGTCGGTGATTCCTCGGATATAGGCTA